TATAATTTTATTGGAGGAAATACATGCCATGACAATGTAGCTATGATAAGTAATAATGCTAATGATAATAACTGGTAATGATGACAGCTGATATTAGTTTTATTTTATAATCATTTATAGTCGTTTTTCGAAATAATCATTTATTACAGCATGTTTAGAACTGTATTTAAAATATTACGTTCCGTTACAAAATACATTATCTCGTTTAATGTAACGCATATCTTATTTTATATCTTCGCATCGATCTAACAACCAGGAACACTGCATCTCATATCTATAATTGCAACCACTGAACGTTTTATCAAATACAATTCTAGAAATGCAATGAAATGTATTTACCAGATATTTGTTGTGTACGTGTCGATAATAGTAAAATATTGAACGATCTTTTGGATCTCGAACATAGTCTTCCTGCGTGCATGCAGAATCCGATGACGATAGCGTTGATGGTTTAGTTTCGATCACGCGATGTTGGAATATATCCTCTCAACACCTTATTTATGGTGCGTAGAAGCGGATACTTATCACCACATATACCATTGAAGTCATCGGTTTCGATGCTCCACATCATCATACCACCAAGTCCCTTAGACATGACGTACTTGGCCTTCTCTTCGACAGATCTAGCAACATAGACATATTACTTTACATTCTTATTTCTATATCTTTTATCTCTCTTTTTACGTTCACGTAACATCGAATACTCACATAGTATCGTCGTATCCAACCCATTGGTTGCCCTTGAAAGCATAAGGTACACGTTGTTCAGGTTCGCGTTGCACCGTCCATCCCCGTTGAATATATTCGCAGATCTCGTTGTAACCAAGCATACCAGCTTCTCGCGTGTAAGGACCAGCTTTTCCAGGACCGATGGTTTTAGAACCTATGTCATTCTTCGAGGGACTCGCCAAGGTGAAGGATCTACCGTAAGCAGGAATACCAACAACGAGTTTCTCAGGTGGTGCACCTTGTTCGAGCCAATATTCAACAGACCGGTGCTAAAACGTAAATGTTCCCATACATCAGAATCGATATATCGAATATTTCGTTTGATACCAAACTCGAATAAAATTTGAAGATAACCGAGAATGCAATTTTACCATGTTGAGCTTAGCTTGTTTGCCAGATTCCTGCGAGGACGAATATAGAGGAGCGTTAACCGCTGCGAAATCGTTCCACGGTCCATTCAAGTCGTACGCCATCAAATTAATTAAGTGAGGATATTGCACCATTCGTGGAATATCATAAGATTTAGAAGCTGAGTTTTCAACAGCACCCACCGCCACGCTGAGGATGTAATCATATTTGTCGAATTCTTCTCTCATCTCCTTCAACAACGTGACATAGTTCTGTATGTCGACTGGATTGCCGCCACGTTGGTTCGGATATTCCCAGTCGATGTCGAAACCGTCGAAATCGTACATCTGCAGAAACATAATCACGCTCCGGATGAATCGCGCGCGTTTTATAGGATTCGCGAAAACCTTGGAATACTTGGAGGAACCTTCGTTCCAACCACCTATCGCTATCAAAGCTTTCATTTCTGGATTCAGCTGACGAAGTCTGGTGAATTTTCCATAACCATCTCTACCGTTTGGTAGATCCATCCACTTATCCAATATTCTGATGTTGCCATTCTCAGAGATACCAATGAAGGTATAGATTATATGAGTGCATAGAGTGGGATCTATATCGGTTGGTTCGAATCTTCCAAGTCCAGGACGATAGGCTGACCAGCTACCATAGTAGCAAATGATTTTCTCTGATTATCGGAAACGGATTATCATTATTACTATAACTTAAGCTGTTTATTATTGCAATTCAATAGAACAGAATATGTGGTGGGTTACGGGATTATTTAACGATACCGATAACGAGGCTCAAACAGAAATTTATTGATCGTTAGTTTTATGAGTAATTATGTATTTCATACTTACTATCAGTCGTGTTGTTCGCAGTGGCATACGCCATAAAAGCAATCAGGAACAGCGCCTTCAACATCTGATAATAAGCAATTTTTGTTAACTATTAACGATAAAAATTTCATCGATGGAAATGCAAATAACGGAGAGCTTAATTCGATATATCGCGTTAATGTTTTTAAATTGATTAATTAAATTGTTATCGATTTTAACAAGATCGCACATATCGTTGTACGAGTACTAGCTATAATTGTGAAAATAAAATACAGGAAAAAGTTCTTTCGAAGAGAAGTTCGAATAAATCTAGCGTTAAACGTCACGTTTATATTTCGAATGTACTTTTACCTTTAAATTGACACAGGTGTGTATGTAAGACAAATAGCGGCAAACGGCGTCTTCGCTTGCTTGCTATAAAACTGAAATAAAAAATAATACTAGAACGCATAAAATGAATAACGCACTGTGAAAAGTATTAAAAATAGACAACGTTGCTGAACGAAAGAAATTTTCAAGCGTGAATATATATTTCGCGATAAAATTTACCAAACACAGTAAAAACTAACATAGTAAAACAGAACTTTTATCCACTGTCACATACGACGCTACATAAATATTAAATATAAAACAAAGTTAAATAAATAAGAATTTACCTGAAATAAGAAGTTACCTGTTTCAAAGTTGCAGAGCTCAACTTGCACTTGTCGCAGCCGGTATCGGTATGTCACAGTTCACAAAGCGTAAGGGACTTGATATATCAACTAACTCCGACAAGTATCTTAAACGCATTTATCGCGTATCAGGTATCGACTAGCAATTTTTTCTCAGATATCTTGATTCAGACTTTTATATAGTAAACTTCAAACCAGCCCGCTAGTTGATAACTGAATTAAACATTATACCACCCATCAATCGCTCATCGGGACTCAGTTACAATCAGGGTGTGCCACGAAAATGAATCATTATCGTGTTTACTTTTTTCCTTTAATATCCACTATCGATCCACAGCTTATCAATCGCTACAAATCACCAGATGTTTGACTATGTTAAATATGACAATCTTTCGTACGAACGAAAACATTACGATAAAGATGTCTGAAAGATGTTCGATAAATTTTAAATCGATGATATGACAATTATAAATACTGTAAAATCTTGGTAACTCGAATCTCACGGGAACAGTTGAAATTTTCCAGTTGTGGAGGTTTCGACTTATCGAAGTTTTCCAGTAAGTGAGATTTTTGACGAACGAGAACTCGACATACGGAGACCTTATTATACATGGATTATATTTTTCGATTTACACATATTCAAAGGCGCAGAGGCGCGTAATATGCTTTTTATTTGGCTGACGAAACACATTCAGTTTGCATAGGAGACATATAATGGCACGATACTTCGAGCTCCAGGTGCAGCGATGATAAAACCGTAACTTATGTGGGTGAACCTCGACTCGAAGAGGTCGAGCTTCTCTGAATCCAAGTTACAGAGGTAAAACAACGCATCTACACGTGCAGGAAATGATTCGAGCTAGAGGGAGATTATATTTCTATATTCTTCTATCTTTATATTGTATAGATTTGCAGAAGCTTTTACAGCGAAGCGGAAGAGAATGAACAAAAGTTTTGTCTTATAGATGTTTTCGAATTACAGAGGTTCGAGTTAATGAGATTTTACTGTATTACATTTACAGATATATGTATACATATAATATCGTGAGAACAATTGCTTTGAACGCGATATATTTCCTGGTATCGCATTACTTTTATCAGTTGCTTCCGAGGAATTTTTAAATCCTCCATTATTTCTAAATCAAACGTTATGCCAACGCTAATGTCACTGTCGGGCGATAGTTTTTAGAAAAATATCCGATACAAAGACAGTAAAGTATACAGGGCGAGTTACTCGAGACTTTAAGCTGAAGCTTAAATTGAAATATTTTCAATGCTGTTAATTATATCGGCAAGTTTTTCGGATAAAAGTTGAATAGCTTCGAAGAAAGAGATATATATGTTGGTGTCACTAGTTTTCAGCTTCAATTACTAGTCATGTGATTTGGTTTTTAAATGAAATGATATATTTTTTAGGAACTGAAATATTTTCACTGCTGTTAATTATATCGGCAAGTTTTTCGGATAAAAGTTGAACAGCTTCGAAGAAGGAGATATATATGTTGGTGTCACTAGTTTTAAGTTTCAATTACTAGTCATGTGATTTGTTTTTTAAATGAAATGATATATTTTTTAGGAACTGAAATATTTTCAATGCTGTTAATTATATCGGCAAGTTTTTCGGATAAAAGTGAAATAGCTTCAAAGAAGGAGATATATATGTTGGTGTCACTAGTTTTAAGTTTCAATTACTAGTCATGTGATTTGTTTTTTAAATGAAATGATATATTTTTTAGGAACTGAAATATTTTCACTGCTGTTAATTATATCGGCAAGTTTTTCGGATAAAAGTTGAACAGCTTCGAAGAAGGAGATATATATGTTGGTGTCACTAGTTTTTAGTTTCAATTACTAGTCATGTGATTTGTTTTTTAAATGAAATGATATATTTTTTAGGAACTGAAATATTTTCACTGCTGTTAATTATATCGGCAAGTTTTTCGGATAAAAGTTGAACAGCTTCGAAGAAGGAGATATATATGTTGGTGTCACTAGTTTTAAGTTTCAATTACTAGTCATGTGATTTGTTTTTTAAATGAAATGATATATTTTTTAGGAACTGAAATATTTTCAATGCTGTTAATTATATCGGCAAGTTTTTCGGATAAAAGTTGAACAGCTTCGAAGAAGGAGACATATATATGTTGGTGTCACTAGTTTTCAGTTTCAATTACTAGTTATGTGATTTGTTTTTTAAATGAAATAATATATTTTTTTAGGAACGTTAATCGATGCAACTCGAGATTCTCTATAGAAAATTATTAACCCACTTACGTAGACAAACTAATAGTTTGTCGTAGTAGATATTTTAACTTCTAGTTTGTGAAACTTATCGTATAGAAGATAAGGAAAACGAAAACAGAAGTTACTATTTGCTTCGTGTTTTGTGTCCTCGCACACGGTTTTTGCTAATCATCGACGATAGGAACAATGTTTCGTACAAATATAAGCAAACGCGAGCCTTGAACGCTCGCAGCGGTTGTCTGACTTTCGTCACTCTTCGTTCTAAGAAGATAAGGGCAAAATACTCGAGGGTGCTATACGTGAAATCCTCTGCGATACTGCGTCGTAGGATAGCGGGTCCCAAGAATCTCCTATACTCTAACAGTTTTTGTACAATCGTCAGTATAGACGAACGACCGTCTTATTCATATTTTAGCGTTTACCAAAAATGTAATTTTATATTCCATACTATTCATACTATACATATTCCAGACTATATGTATTCTTTAGTGTTGGAATACAACGATATTAATCGCATACAGATGAGGTGATCGATCGAACGGATTCTTTCCTTCGTTGCCCTGCGATATCCCCGCTAGCGTGCGTTCGTTAGATGTACCATGGCGGCTGGTGCGTGCATGTTCTTCCGAAAATTCTGCGGAAGAAGCGTAAGGATATGGATGGCACATTGGACACGCTTTGTATCGCAGAGCTTCTGGAAGGTTCCGTGGCACGTGCCGCCACACAGACGTCTACACAGGTCACACTCATTACTGCACAGAGAGTGGGGTTCAAAATCTCTTCAGGGGCCATGGGTCACTAAGTCAGTCAATCTAAGAATAACTGGCCAATTGTCAACGTTCCACAACGCTCACTTATATTTCCTGTAATTTTTGTTTAATAAACATCACATATTATTATTTCAACGCAAACATTGTGTCTTCCACAGATTATTAATCTTAATTTCGAGATTAAATTCTAACATTTGGCCACTTACTTATAAATATAGTAATCGTAATAGTATGTAGTACCGTTAATAACAATAATATATTTTGTATATCTAGACACGAAGACTACATAATATTTAGATTACATATTTATAAGTTTTGTAATGTAGATTATTGTCGTTTGAAATTTATACCTTTAACGATTTGTCTGATAATACTAATGGATGTGACAGTAAGAATTGGATAGTATTCATATCGCTATGAGTATACACGGTTTTGTACGCAAAAAGGTATGGCAGTATCAAGTTGGCAAGAGCTTTGTGAACAATGGGCAAACCGTTAGTAACTGTGAAGGAAGGAAAATTGGAAGGCGCAGTATTGAAAAGTAGCCTAGGATTGTCATATATCGCCTTCAGAGGGATACCTTTCGCCGCTCCTCCTATCGGAAATCTTAGATTTAGGGTACGTTTCCGGTACTTGTTCTCGACTTATTTCAACTTTATCACGCCATGTCAAATATCATCTTGTAGCAATTCTAATATGTAAGAATTGTAAGAAATATGTACTAGCAGAGTTGAAATTCCAATCTTTTTGTAGTCGCCTATGTTAAAAATGGTACCGTAGTCTCCTACTATTCCTATTTCATGATTCTCGGTTTTCGAGTATGAACTCAATTCCCATAATTATATCGTTTACGCGAAATCGAAAAATTGTGGAATCGAAATTATTTTATTACATTTTGTTCAAGTTATTCGGAATAATTATTTACCATTGGAAACAACTTGAAGAAATTACCTAACGTTACAGCAAGTTTAAAGTGCCGTTTAATAGAATCTGATTAATACGAGTGATTTGTACAGATAGTTAAAGTAGTGCGTCATGTAATGTTGTATTTATTTTCTATCCAAATGTTCTTTTTTTTCTTACAAAAATAGGATCCTCAACCACCTGCATCATGGACTGGTATCTTGGATACATCCAAAGACACGAAATACATATGCCCACAGTTGGAAGAAAATCCGCCTTTCGATATTATTGGCAACGAAGATTGTCTTTATTTGAATGTTTACACGAATTCTCTCGATCAATCGAAGCCTGTTATGTTCTGGGTTCATGGAGGGGCATTCATACTAGGCAATTCGAGTTTTCACGAATCGAGACCCGACTATTTGCTCGCTAAAGATGTTGTAGTTGTCGCAGCTAACTACAGGCTTGGCGCATTCGGTTAGTTTTGGTTCAGTTTTACGGTAAAACCATGTCTACTTCTGTCGACATCATATATGCATACATTCGCAAAATATCAAAAAAGAGATTGTGCATGCAATTTAGAAACAAAATGTTTACTTTACGAATAAACAGAAAAGCTCTAGAATTATTCAGTTTTTTAAATTTCAAGGATTTTTAAATTTGGGTCACCGAGTCGCGCCAGGAAATTTAGGCTTAAAAGATTTAATCGCAGCTCTAGAATGGGTCAAGAAAAATATCGCCAACTTTGGCGGAGATTCCAATAATGTTACGATTTTTGGAGCTAGCGCTGGAGCAACTTTGGTACATTCCTTACTCGTATCGCCTCGGGCGAAAGGTAAAACGTGATTTTGACTACGTTCTTCATAAAATTAATCGAAATCTAAACTCTCGAAATCATCGAAGATATCTACACAACAGAAAATGTAAATGTCAAAGATCAAGTCTTATTCGTGATTTCAATGCACCGAAATGTTTTGGGATTTATCGAGATATATCGAGATTTCGAAAAGATTTGTTAATCCTGCTAGTTCTATGTCGATTTTTAGGACTGTTTCACAAAGCGATTTTGCAGAGTGGTACATTGACGTGTCCTTGGGCAAATTCCGAGATTGAAAATGGTTCTGAAGGCAGTTTTAAACTTGCCTCGCTTCTTGGCAAAGATTCTAATGATCCTGTCGAAGTTTTTGAATTTTTACGAACAGTGCCTGCCGAGGACATCGTAAAAGCCCAAATTTCACTTTTATCTTCGGAGGCAATGACTTTTCTTTTAACATACTTCGTTAATTATAATCAAACATTGAAGATTAGAACAAACAAAGAATTTGAACTCGTCATTTTGTATTGTAGAGAGAGAAGGCCGGTATCCTACCTTTTAGACCCAACAGTGACGAAGTGGCAGAGAATCCTGTTTTACCAGAACCGATCGAACAATTAATCACGAAAGAAGCAGATGTGCCCGTGATAATCAGTTACACGGCACACGAATATTTGATGATCATAAAAGGTGAGTATAGTAAAAATTTAAAAGAAAAAAGAGGAAGATATTAAAGATAATTGTTTATTACACGAACAATGATACTGTGCGATTTTCGTGTTTCTCAGATAAGAGCCCAAAATTAATAAATGCTTTCAACCAGTATCTCTATGGTCACGTGAAAAATTTGGGATTATTGAAGAAATTAGGGGATGCTGAAATAAAGAAATTGTTCGCGTTGGTAAAAGATCAATACTTCGATGGAAAACCGATCAGCGTGGAAAATTTAACCGAATTTTCAAAATTACTCAGTCTTATTAATTTCGGCATTCCCGCGATGTTGTTGCTAGAGGATCGCGTGAAAAGAACGACCGCGCCTAGTTATCTCTGTGTATTTTCATACGTTGGCAGTGAGAAGACCCCGACGGATCTTCTAGTAACACGACAGATTTCTGGTAACTTTAATTTTTAGATCCATTGCCGCATAATTATCAGATTATGTACACAACTATCAAACACGATATTTGCTCTTATACCGCAGGAGCGTCTCATACCGACGATGTCGCGTATTTGCTATACTTACCCAAATGTAAAACTGAACATCCTGATCCACCAGCGATTGGTACGAAGGACAGGATTACGTTAGAAAGAATGACTAGAATGTGGACCAATTTTGCTATAACTGGGTAAATTTTCAACGTGATTTCGAAAAGCATAAATCCGAATTTTAGAATTTATATATCGTATATGTTTAATATAGGAATCCTACCTCGGTCAAAGATGAGTTTGTCAACGTTGATTGGAAGCCTGCAACGAAGGAAGATCTATGTTATTTGAAAATTGACGACGAGTTACAGTTGCTGCCTATTTCACCACATCTTTTATCCTTTAAGTAGACTACATCAATCTTTTTTTGCGTGGGACGAAAATTAATTTTGGGAGAATTTTTATTTCTTTTTATTCACATGTAATTTATAATAATACATGTAATCACTTTCTTACGTTTGTAAGAAAGCAAAGGGTGCAAAGGAAGTAATAAATACATTACATATTTTCTACGCTTGTAAAATGTTACTGACAGCTATTTACACGCATCGACCATGCAAACGCATCTTTCTTTCTCGTTTGCAATAAATTTGCGAGTATCTCGAAATCAAAACTCTCGAAATCATCGAAGATATCTACACAACAGAAAATGTAAATGTCAAAGATTAAGTCTTATTCGTGATTTCAATGCGCCGAAATGTTTTTCAGTGCAATTTCGATGAAGAAGAAGAGATAAAGAATGGCAATGAAATAAATTGTAAATATGTTGTACCTATGCTATAAATATTCATCTCAGGCTACGTGGGGCTGATAAGAAATTTGTCGTTGAATAAATAAATATGTTTTTCTTTTCTTGCGATTAGAATTGTTTTAGACTAAACTTCAACTCGTCCCTATCGCGTTGATAAAGTTCCAGTTTTTACCCTTTCTCTTTTTTTTTTCATTTTCGTCATTATTAACGAGGTTTGGTGTATGATTAAATTATTGTTTGTGTAATAACACAACGCACGTTTCGATGTTTAAAAAACAACTTATATATTATTAATAATTCTATTCATCCGTGACTCTTTTAAAACACGAAAATAACACTTTTAGGTGTAATAACCCATAGAGTTTCAGTCAAACGATTTTTAAAATATTCGTCAATTTATCGAAAAATACCGGTTATTCTCCGAGTGATATCGATGATGACTCATATGCACTCGTTCACGGCTTATTTATTCCAAAAGGCGAAAGCTTTTTGTATCCTCTCGTTGTGTGGTTTTCCTGGCGTCATAGTGATCACAGGATTTGTACGTTGCGACACGTGCGGTACGTTCGTCGGTGATTTCGATTCTGCTGCCTCTTTCTCGAATAATTTGGCGGTACGACTCACGTTTCCGGTCGGAACGAACTTGCTACGAATTCTTCCGATTAGTAGCCTTGGGTCCTCAATTTCTTCGGGCACTAAAAACATATCAATTCATAAATGTTGTAGCAAAATCATTTATCGAAAAATGCTTGTTAGAATTCGATTAGTTAAAAAAGAGGAGAACGAAAATTATTTATTGAACACACCTTCATGCTGTCGATTAATTTCACGCGAAGCTTTAGTCACACCACTCAGTGTAGCTACCTCGATATTTCCTTTGGTATGTTTCTTTGGGTCCGAAACTTCAATGTTTCCTGCGTCTGACATTTCGTTGATTTCCTCGAGCGATGTCCTACGACTTTCAAATTGCTCCACCTTTTGTAACACGTTTTTAAGGTTGTCGCTATTATTTTCGTTGTCCGCCTCTTCTTCTTTAATCGACGAAATGCCTAGTTCGTTCACTTGTTGCGAAGACGCGGATAAATTGGAAATACAATCTCCGATCCCAGAATCTCGCGAGTCGCCTCTGAAAACCCGACGCGACTTCTGCGAGTTTACACTCGATTCTCGGTCCGTCTTCTGCTTCAATTCCTTGTCTATTTCCATAAATGTATCCTCACTGACCGTCTTTTCTTCCACGTTCCAAGTCGAGTCTTGTTTGCATTCTGAAGTCACTAGTTCCGGAGAATTAATCTCATCATTGATCGTTGATTTTGTAGTAACCTCGTCCCAAAGTAAATCCTGATAAGATTGCGATTTGTCATTGAAGTCGATCAAACTTTTTCCTTCCACGGTTACACTCGTTAAAATCGAAATTTCTTCGGTTATCAAGGTACGCTCCTCGACCTGACATCGCGTCACGATTTCGGTTTCCTCTTCGATTCTCTCCATAGGAAGCAGTTCCTCTGACTGAACTTCGTTCTGGCCCTCAGTTTCCTCAACTGTATCAGTTTCTCGGGTCCCTCCGGATCCATTTCCCTGAGAACACGATCCCGCGTGATCCGTCGTCGGTTCATTTTTCAATGACGACTCGTCAAGGTCCGACGATACGCCTGTTACTTCCTTTTGAGACAGGTCTAACGTTTCCTCTGGCGAGATGTTCATCTTTGTCTTATAACAGAACGAATACAGGTTCCTTTCTCGAGTATCTAGCTCGTTCGTGCTCTCGTTGTTCTTTTCTATCGCATCGTCAATGTCACGTGATTTTTGTTCGTTCGATGAAACGTCAAAATCGATCGTTCGTGGTGATTCAATGGGATCCGAGGTTGGCGAGGATTCTGCGGTCGCTGTCGGACTTCGTCTGCTGTTCGCTGAAAGTATCGCCATCCTTCCCAGTGCACGAATGGCATTTCCTGTTTTCTATCGTAACAAACAGAAGCGCACACACACGCAACACGATCAAATCCATGCTTAGATTAGTGGCAACTACGGTATCGAATTTTTGTGATTAGTTTTGATAAAAACAAAATAATTCTTTTTCGAATGAAAAAGGGTCGCATAATTAGAATGATTTAATCGAATTGCTCATAACGAAACCGATCCTCGTCCAGGTTTGTCTTTTTCCAGGAGAGCAAAAGGATACTCTAGTATCTTCCATTTCGGTTTGATAAACTTGTTTTTTCTTTTTCTAGCAAGATATTCATCATATTACACAATTGCTGTAAATGTATGGCTGAATCGTAATCATAAATTTATGGATCTCGTAACAAACGTTGTTTCTATTGAATTTATTAGCTTTCATTCGACCATAAGTTAAGGTATTAATCAATCTTTATAATATTAATTCGACCATGGATTATCTGTTATGGATTTTCTTTTCGACTACTTGAATGTATCGTTGTCTGAAAAGTCGGAGAATTTTACAAGGAACGTTTTTATTATGAGTGTATCAACTGCGCGTAAAAGAATTTCTCGATACATCAATTTCACAGTTTTAGAAAAAACCATATTCGTCTTTACTCTTTGAAAAGATACAATACTGTTTTACTCGGGACAATTTGCAACAGTTGTTTCAGATATTAGTATCAAATTACTTACCGTAAATCGTAAATTACTTATCGTTTTTAAACAAGCTCAAAACATTGCAATCTATCACAATGACGGACGATGTGAAAAATATGTAAAGTAACGAGTATCGAGTTATTAATTTTTACCTGCCACTTTCTTCGTACGATGAATTTCTTCAGCTTTTCTGTCGGCAAAGCTATCCTACTCATGGCTTCCGCGTGTTGCGCCATCCAAGCATGTTCCAAACATTGCCTCGCCGACATTCGCGATCTATAAATATAATAAATTAATTACATAGAAACCTCGATTAAGAATTTATAGAACATTTTGGACACAGTTGAATCAGTAGTAAAGTATGATTCTACAATCCTTGTCAATCGTTTCAGTACATACAGATTGCAGATATCTCGTTAGAAGATGATGCAAATAATATCTGATAATCTAATATAAAAACTGTTTTTTCCTAAAATATGTTAAACGCATTTCAGAGCCTTGTTCGAAGTTTCCATTCGTAATTTTCACTTGTAATATTCTAACGTAAGCAACATAGGAATAATTTTCAACCTTTACACCGTAGTATCTATACATTTGCACGGTAGATTCAATCGTAAATCATTGTCGAATTTGGTTTCATAATTTACTTGTAGTTTTTTTCCGAAAATTTACATATTCTCCTTCGCTGTCACATTATATGCAACGACGAGTATGCACAAGTTGCGTAGAAAAAATTAGTTTAGGAAAGTATAGAAACAAATGAATATCGAAGAATTTATCTTTCCTCTAACGCGAAGTATTTCACGCCAATTGAAAAAACTAATTGTACAGTATAAAGACTGTAGCTAATATATTTATCAAACGCGTACTCCTTTCGTTTGACAAGCAGGCTGCTGATGAAGTCCTTAGCGTCGTTGGAAATCGCATCGAAGGCCTCATCTTCCAAGTCGTAGTCAGCCCGAGTGATGTTGGCGAAGGTCTCGGCGTCATTGTCGCCCATGAATGGTGATAAACCGGTTAAGCTGAGCATTTACGACGTTGTTATTTATATAATAAACTTGTAAAGAGTGCAATTACGTATTTTAATCGCTTACAGAACGTAACAGATTACACCGACGCTCCACATGTCCGATTCGGTACCGATCGGTTCGTAACTTATTATTTCTGGTGGAATGAATTCTGGTGTGCCGAAAAGGACTCTGATCGGTGTGTCTGGTTTGAGTGTCTGTGCTAGACCAAAATCGATGAGTTTTATTTGATGGGAAGTTCGTGTTCGACACATTATGTTCTCCGGCTGCAAGAAATTCATTTGTATTAACTAGAGAAAATTAATAAAATAATTTTATAATAATAATTTGAATAATAATTTACGTTACAGCAGTTCAAACAATTCTGTGGGGTAGCATAATTATTAAATTACTTATACTTAATGTAATTAATATAATTTAGGGTAATATAGTAATAATTTTTAAATAATTTTAAAACAGTAAAATCTATATCAATGTTCAAGGTTTCAACTAAACAAATGACACCTTTCCTTACCTTCAGGTCCAAGTGCACCACTTTATTCTGATGCATATATTCGACACCCTCGCAAATTTGTTTCATGAACAGTATACTGTCTCTTTCGGTCAGGGTAAAATCGTCAGCAACAACTCTCTCGAAAAGTTCGCCACCAGAAATACTAAGGAATATAACGTTTTACGAATCAAATTATTTTTTAACGTTTCTATAAACGGATAAATATATTTTTTATTTTAATATGGAAGCTTACTATTCCGTAACCATCGTGATTTCTCGAGGACTCTCGAAAGCAGCCGCCAAAAGGAGGAGTTTTGGATGTCGCAGCATGTTCATGATTCTAATTTCCTCTCGAACTTGCTCTCGATCCTTCGTTTTAATGGTCCTGACAAATTTTGCCGCGAAGCTCGTACCTGAAGATTTCTCCACCACCCTCCGTACAGTTCCGTATCGACCTTTGCCCAATTCCTCCAATATCTCGTATCGATGATTAAACAATTGTCCATCTTCCATTTCCACTATTCGAGCTTCGAACGGTGGCTTAAATTCTGGAAATGTCAAATGTTTCATGGATTTTTTTCGTTACATACAAAATACTTAATATTTGAAATGCTGCTGTGTACTTTGAATCGTTTCTCAGCTCACTCGTATTTCTTTATCATTGTCAAATTTCATAAGCTCGAGGAAAAAGTAAAATAATCGTTATTGATATGCGTGGTTTTTCGTCTCAATCTTTTCATAGAGATTTTGTTAAAATATTTTTATGTCAAAGCGAGAGCGTGATTGAAATTTAAATAACTTGTGAGCTGCAACAAGTTTGCAAAATGTAGTCAGAGACAAAGATAAGTTGACAGGTAGTGAAAATAAATATCAACGAAATTGCGTTAATTGCAGCTTCTTTACATAAACATGTAAGTATTAATTTGAATTATTTACTAAATAATCTGTGTACTATAAGGATATAATAAATAGAACTTAGTACTGTGTAGTTTTATTAAACTTCCATAATACCAACTTCCTGTCTACTTGATTATATCTGCCTATTTATTTTTCTCCTCGACTGTATATGTACTATCATCTTTTATAACTACATATTTACCGTCTTCGTCGTCTTGCAAACACGTTTCCCCTTGTTTCGGAATTCGAACAAATTCAGATTCCTCTCCAGGTTCGCTAACCCCATGTATGTTTTCAGCTCTTACGCGGAAACGATATCTTTCACCAGGTATCACGGTGTCTGTTCCAACATCAGGTAGCGTGAGACTCAACGAAAGACAGGATTCTGCGATCGTCATCCAAGTGTTTTCATCGGCACGGTTCATTTCCACGGTATAACCGGTAACCGTGCAACCACCATCGTAGGGAGACGATCGCCAATTAATGGTCGTTGCCCCTGTAGAACAGCATATGTTTGGAACACTCGCTGGCGGGTCTGGTGGACCTGTAAAAAAGATTTGCGAACCTTTACAATTTTTGTGAAATTGTAGTATTTTGTTTTAGTAGACAATGGATGTACGCTGTCGTCCATAAGTTACGGGTTATGATATAAATGTTTGTAATGTTTATAAAATATTTAGGAGACAGTACATAATTTTACAAAATGGACTTACATTTAATAAAAGCAACAAATAAATATAATCCATGTCAAAAAATAAATAACTATTACGAATATAGTGAAAAATTTATAGAACAAAAGTTATTAAAATCCACTATATATCAGTTTTAAACTTTTGTTTATCCGTTACTGTATACATCTATTGTATAGAACCTATACTGTACTATGCTATACTATATTATTGTATAGTGTCTGTACTTAGTTTTATATTTTATAATTTTTACTTTAAATATTAGAAACTTGTAAGTAGAGCCTTCGGTATAACGGTTTGTTGAAAGTAACTGACAATCAGAACACGTGTTGCCTGTGTATCATTTATTTTTAAGTCGGCTAGTTTTTTTCAAACTCATTCGCCGTTAAAGAATGTTTCAAGGACGTCATGTTCAACAGTCCATTTGAAATTATAAACAAGAACCGCTTAAACTGTTTTTCCTCGAACGGGTCTCATTAATAATCATATGGAATCAAAATGTCTTGAAACTAAAAAGTCATCAATCTGTGTATCTACATATATTGTACTTTGTAAACATGAATTACTCGTTTTCACAAGATTTATGAAAGAACTTTACCACAAAGTTGCACGCTTTAAAGTGTCGTCTTTACACTACATGCACTGACACTCGTTTATTATGACAATTTCATACAACATTTTGCAATATGTTCACTCGCTTGACAATTAGTAGTAAATAATTCGCCATTACCCATTGCTCTTCGAGTGTCGTCCTTTTCCTCGCGATCACTCGACAAAGAAAACGCTGTTAATAAATTTTGGAAATTGTTTAAAATATTAGGCGAAAGTGTGACGTGAAAAATTTCTTTATGTTCTCGGCGCCGCGAATTATTCTACACAACTCTCCTCTTGCACAACGCTGCCATGACGCGCACGCACTTTTTCAGCACTGGTTCGTTTCATCGTGATCTCAAGGAAAGAGGAAGAGTAGACGAAGCAAATGGTGGGGATGGAAGAAGAAACGAGGGAAGAAGGAATTATTGCGCGACACGTCACGTGAGACTGTCGTCTGCCTTGTACATAAGAAGCGGAACTGGACCGTGTGACACGCGCTTACGCACGTGGAACAATGGATGTTTCGTTCTAAATTGCGTTTGAAGACACCAGGAAATGCGATAGAAATTAATCGAAATCGTTGATTTAATTCAGTCGAAAGTTCTTATGACTTCTCGTCTTTTTTACTTCTATCGGTTTTACGTGTTTTCTAAAGAACACTATAGCCTTCTAACTTAGTGAAAAATAAAAAAGATCAGAGAATTATTTGTCTCTTTCATGTCTATGAAACATGGTAAGCTTGGAAATTGATGGAGATAATTAATTAAATTTAATCGAAATTTCTTAAGATTTCTCGCCTTCTGTTTCTGCATTCGTATATTTTTTCAAGAAATGCGACAGGTTCGGAAATCAGTGGAAATGGTGAATTCTGTGCAGTGATTCTAGGATTACTTGTCTGCTAAAACTTTTACGAATTTTTAACACTTTCGCAAGAGACAAACTCTGAAATTAGTCGAGACAACTGTTTTAGTATAATTAGGTTAATTCAGTCGAGGATTTCTACGATTTCTCATACTTCGATGAATTTTCTAAATTTTTGTCTCACTGAGTCACGTACTTTCACGTATTAATTAGCAATGTTCTACAACAGTTTGATCGCGTCGGTAAAAACGTTTCCGCTTAATGCACTCGCTCCATTTCCTTCTATCTAGTGGACAGGTAGGATTTCTTGCTCTTACTAGTGCTGATAGCATAAACTATTCTTAGTTTCATAGAGTTCGCAAACGAAAACACTGGTTCGTATTGTTGTATACTTACTTTTATGCTATGCGCACACATATTAACGGGCGTTTATTGCAGTATAAGATATCGGGAATTTAAACGAGTGATGTAACACCGCTCGCTTCAAAGCTTTGTAAATACAAATCGTCTTCTAGTGTTTGTGGCTCTTGTCTATGTACGTAATTTGAACAAGTGTTCCATCTCTATTTGAGGCTACATTTACGTAATGCTAACGTAATCTTTTTTACAACAGCTTGTATCTCATCGTTCGTACATAGGTAACAATGTTCCTTGGTCAATTTTAACACTTTACTGACCGCTAGCGGTTCAATAGTATACGCACGTCCGACCGGTAGCTCAGGCGCAGATTCTCCCTGGCGCCGGCTCTGTTCCGGTTTAGACTCTCCAATACCATTCTTTTCGTTCATCACGATCGGTAAGTTTTTTAAATTGGCATAAAACTGTGCGAACTTACAAAGCAACGCAACTGACGCAACTGAGCAAGGTACCTTAGTACTGAATAACAAATTACTGCTCAAATAATGAGAAAAATTGTCGGTGACAAAAAGCCGATTAATAGGCTATCGGTTGGTAAGCGTCGGAGACAAAAAACCGATAAATCGGCTATCGGTGGTCGGTAAAGTGTTAATATTTCTTTGTCACGTACGTACCTTCAACAGCAACGCTGAAACACCGTCGGTCCTTTCCCAGTTTATTTTCCACGGACACTTCGTATTTCCCGGCATTGTCAGCGGTCACATCGTCCGATATTAAGCAAGACACTCCACCGCCGTAGGTAATAGCAGTCTTTTTGTTTGCAGTCAACTCTCGACCCTTTAATCAAAATTCTCGATTAAGCGCTTGATTGAACGCGGTCAGAGATGGACGATTACAACTGACTGATAGGTGCTTATGAACGATTCCCATGCATCTATATAACTATGACATTACTATATATGAATTCGTAAGTTACTATATCTACATAACCGCAAGCGATTGTACATGATTACACGAAGTTAAATACGGCATTGAAGATGCAATTTTTATTAACGTACAATTAGACCTTGTTAAGGTAAATTTGAGCTTGATATTAATATCGTGTTTTGAATATATAGTGACTCATGGAAGTATTCGGATGTCTACTACAGAAAATTTGCCTAGATATAGCGAAACTTTATTGTAATCAGTATTGTAATCAGTTGCGGAAATTCATACTTTTATGCACAAGTAAAGAAACAAAGACTAAATAGAAATTTTGTTATCTTCTTGACGTCGTAACAAATTTGTTTTAAATGTGTCGTGTACTTTTTTATTGTATGTGCATTTCTAGCACATTTAATAATATTCCCGTTAATGTGTGAAAACACTGTGTGTCCAAAGTCTAATAATGAGATAAGACTATCATAATCATGTTTATCGTATACACATGACTACATATTGAACATAAATTTTGTAGAATGTTTGCCTCTGAGCATATAATTAACGAATGATCAACGTTATCTCGCTAAATACATTGAAATTTATTAATATAATATCGATAACAATATAACATCATCGATAGTTTATATGCTTTTGCGAGTTCTGTGAATTTACGTTTGCAATTTTCTAACTTTTGGATACATCTTCGGATTTCGTTCAAACTTGACGAATATACCTCAGTCGTATCTCACTTTAATGCCAATAAAATTTCAAAATTTTTCGTTTATACCACACTTGACACACTCATGAAAGATCTATATAACAAGCTGTTCAAATTCTTTCGTATTAGTGTCCAAATACTTCGTTCCGGGAGTCACAATATACTGATTTCACTTAATTGACGAACGATATCGCACGAACAGAGATTCTCTTGTTTCGTAACAGTAGCGTCTTTAATCACACGGAGGACAAAAAACTTCTTGTATTTTGTTCTCGAACTACATTAAACAAAGTTTGACGTTTTGACGGGAGAATCTGACGGAAGATATAAATGATACTCACTGCTCGTAGCCACTTGACGACTGGTTCCGGATGACCTCGATACGTGACCCTGAGGACTACTCTGTTTCCTCGGAAAACTGTGACGTCAGCCGGTACCTTTACGATACTGGCAGCCACGAATTCCTCCGGCCTAATAGTAACTTTCTCCTCCTCTTTCGCCACGATTTCTTCCTTCTTTACAATCGAATCCTCCTCCAACTCTTGCAGAGCGCTTTCCATGCATATTATAGGTGTATTATCGTGTTTATTATAGTTATCTTGAATTTGTTTCGCATTGTTACCAGTCTTATACGGATCAGAAACCTCTGTTGAACTCGTTATACATTCTTCTTTGTTTTCAACTAATTTTGATATCTTTTCGTTCGATACTTCAGAAGATTTTTCTTTACAAATATCCCTTGTTTGTTCCTCGTCTGAAGACGACGAAATCCTGTGTTCATTAGATTTGTAGCGCACTTGTTGAGTAACTTTACGTTCCAACTTTTTCGAGCCGCGAACTATCCTTTTATTCGTTTTGTTGGTCGCCAGTGTTTTCCTGGTATCGAGTAACGGACTTTGAAGAATATTCTTCCTCGCGGGTGCAGGAGACAGTTGTTTAGGACTTGAAGTAGATCTGAGAGGCAACGAGGATGATCTGATTCGTATAGGAGACTCGTGTAATTGATTTCGAGAGGAAGAGAGAACGTCTCTTCTTGCCTTTCGCAGAGAATTGTTACGGCTACAATTAACAGCTTTTGGTGGCTTTTCGTTGTTAATTTCCAGCGTATCGTGACGTCTCGATTCTTCGAAATTCTGTACCGTTCGCTGGAATCGTAGTTCTGCTGTGCAACTAATCGACGGTCCTTTACCAGTCACGGATGCGGTGCATCGAATCTCACCGATATCTCGCGGTTGTACATCGTGTATCCTAAGAATGCTAACGTTATCGTCTCTTTCAACCTAAATGTAAAACCAGAAATATGATATTATAAATGAGAAATTAATAGCGAATGAAATTAACAAATTACAAAACTGATAAACGAAGTTTCTTAAATTAGACGAGTTGACGCACCTTGCACCTTGAATTTTCTCTGATGTCCTTTCCATTGATCGTCCACGTGATTTCCATGGGTTTTCCACATTGCACCCGAGCACAGAAACAGGCAGTCTCACCTTTCGGTGTAATGACCGACACAGGTGTTTTCGTGAACTGCGGCGCCAATTTCGGAATACCTTTGTAATCTTGTGCACAAAGTAAAATATTTTTTAACAGCTTCGTATCGAGATTATAAGTTGTTATATAGGTGAAACTTTAAAGGAAACGTATAGAAAAGTATCAAAGGAGTATCAAATGTTAAATATGAAAAGATTAATGAAAAGGACGAGACATGGGTCTAAAGTACTCCATGAATCGCGTCATTTTATCTGTTTATAGGAAATTTGAAAGTGCAAAACTACGCATAATATGAAAAAATATGTAAAACATCCAAATTATAGTGCTTTGTATACTTGATAGGTAAAACAATTTTCAAATTAATTTTTACTTTTTTAAATATCTTTTCAAAAATATAAATTTGGACAAAAATTCACGGCATAGTCTTAAGATATCTTGTCTGTAAGTATGGAAAGTTAACATTTTTCTAAAAATAAATTTTATTGATAAAAATGTACCTTGAACAGCAAACAGGCCGTTGCTAGACACCTCTCCGAAATTATTGCGAACGAGGCAAGTATACTCGCCAGCATCTTGTGGACAAACATTGGATAATCTTAGTGCGACGCCACCGTCACCATATATGACGTATTTATGGTAATCGTTGTCAGGTATCTCACGACCATCCTTTAACCAAGTCACCGAAAAAGGCGGTGTACCTGAAAAACATGATTTAATGCTCGTTGAATTATATAATCAACCATTTATATTAATTGACGCAATTGATTTCATCCCTTAAAAGTCGAAAGAATTCACGGGAGATGTAGTTGCTCAGAAGTGGCACTGATTGACTCCATAAATTGAGAAATAGAGAAAACTCACGATACTAATTTAGTTTGGAGTTTACGATTATTTACGATATCTCCTAACGATAAATAAACTTATAGAAACAAATAATTCTTTTTTTGAGAAATTGGGCGTTAATCATATGCAGTCAGGAAATGAAAAGAAATTTACAAAAAGATGGAGTTGCTTAGTTTGGCTTCAGGAGAAGCTCGTAACAAAAGATTGAAAACACCAAAAATTATACAATAGTTTGCGATAAGTGCTAACTTATATTGTTCGTTGAGCTAACATTATTTTTATGTTTACTATACCCGCAAGTCTCGTCTGTAGTTCGTAACAGTGACCTTCCATGACGATCGATTCTTCTGGAAGAGACTGTAAGAATTTCGGCGGATCTTTGTCGCACGTAGACGGATTATGAGAATCAAGAACGGTCACCTGTTATCGAAGAAACAATTACGAAAATAATTATTTCGCATTGCAAGACGGTAACGTCGCGTTGGGAAACGAATAGAATGCAGAAGCATGTTGTCTATGCCACGTGGTTAGCATATATCTAAGATTATTTACCTGGCAAGAATTCTTTGTAGAACCAAGGACGTTCGTTGCCACGCAGGTGTACTCACCCGCGTCGCTCGCTTTTACTTTCAAAATTTCGACTTTCGCAGTTGTTCCGTCGAAGTACCTTTTTACTCGAATCGATCGTTCCAACGGGCGTCCATTCCTAGAAATTTGATCCTTTGATACTTTATGCTTTGAATAAATCGTGATTATAAACTAGATACGTAAACACAACGTAGAAACTATGCCACGAACTATGCTATGAACTATGAAACTTTTTTAAGCTCTCTTCCGTTACACCGTCGACGCGATTTGTCTTTGAAACAGAAACAAAGGAAGTCTTATTCTACATAGGTAAAGTGTAATAAATTCTGTGAAAAGTTCTACAGGATTCGAGCTCGATGCAAAAATCGTTAGGTGTTTGGCCATCGTCGTAAGATCTTTTAGACACTCCGAGATTTATGACTACGTTATTTGTTACACGAAACACGCGTGAAAGACTAAAATGCATCTCTAAATCTAAACGAATCAGAAATTGATAAATCACAGAAAAAAAGTCAAAAAGTCTGTACGTGTAAAGAAATGGCAATTGTTCAAACATAATTGTGTATTGGGAAGTCTTTCACAAAAATAATTATGTAATAATGTTTCAGAAGGGAACTTTCTTTGTTTTACCTGAACCACGTTGGTGTTAGACTAGGCGTTCCTCTAATACCGCAATCGAGATATAATCTTCCGTTTATTCTGCTAGTTGTGTCTAAGAGGCTTCGGCTAAATGACGGATACGTTCTAGGCGATGCGCTCCTAGTTCTGATTGTTCTGGCAACCGACCCAAGTAATTGACGATCTTTTTGAACAAATTATCAAAATTGTAAGAATGAAATAACAGGTAATCCTATTCAGTTTTTCGAATGTTTGTGTAAGAAGGAAATGCAAATTTTTCTTGTAATTTAAATTAACTATGTAGTTACGATATATTTGAATAGAAAATTGCCAATTTACCCGATAATGTCATATCAGCAAGTTTACCGTAATTTAATGAATACGATAAAGTATAATCTCAATTCACATACTAATTATTTCCAGGCGGGCACTGGCTTCGATACGACCATAATCATTCTCCACGATCACTCTGTACAGTCCTGCGTCTTCTTGGGTTACTTCGACGATTTCCAATATCTTTACGTCGTCTCTTTCTTTTATCGAGATTCTAGCGGTTGGCGTGGCAATTATGCCATTTTTGTCCCATTTCACCCATGGTGACGGGTGGCCAACTACAGCACATTGGAATCGCACGGTTTCCCCTTCCTCGACCACGCGATTATGCGGAACTGCGTAAAATTTCGGTGGACTGATCTTTGGCCGTCTTGACATCGACCTACTTCGTGGAAGAAGCTGCGGAGACCTTAATTCTCGACCATCTGTAATTGTTCCATTTTGTCATATTTCTCTTCTAATTTAAAAAGTTGATTGGTACAAGCGACGTAAACCTTTTCTTTTCCAGCATTCAACGCAAGAGTTTGGTCACCATCGTTTAATCGAGTCAACGTAAATTTTGTTATTAGGTCAGATATATTTATGGAAATTAAATTAACCCGTAATTGCTACGATGAGAATAAATAATTGAAAGGGCAAACATGGATACGTAAAATAATAAAAAAAGGTTAGTATTATGGGATTATAGTTATTACTTTATTTAAACTACCCTTATGTAACTATTTTAGTTAAATTATACGTACTTGTGTGTACAACACTCGACAAGTTATCGTGAAAATAAAAATTACAGGAATCTGACAAACTTCATTTTACCAATTACGAGTTAAATCTTTGCGAAAGTTTATTGTTTTATTATATTAGTAATTTATTATTATTATTTCACACGATCTATTCTTGTTACGCTTACGCGAAACTGCAGGAGACAAACTCCTGATCGGTGTTGAGCGTGGCGTCGATCTCGGCGTCGATCCGGCCGATAGAAGTCCTGCGGGCCTCGTCAATCTTTGGCTCAAAACATTCTCTTTCCCTTCAGGCACTGAAACGTATTTAAACAAAATGACTTACAAACATGCAGCTTTCCATATTTCTGACACGTATTTCAAGAACGTAGGTAGCAAACGTGTTTCTTATCGCGAGAAACTTCAATAAAATCAGAATCTGGCTGTACTCGAGACACGATTTACTTTGCAGATACAGTGGTAATTGAATAACACTTAAACCGAAGGTTTCACGTATTTGTATCACTTGACGTTTCCATATTGCCTTATTAAACGATCGTGAATTAAACACGAAATTACCATCCACTATTAGGCAGGCTGACGTGAATGCTTTTCCAAGGTCGTTATATGCCACGCATGTATATTCGCCCTCGTCTTCCGGATAAACATGTTGGATGCTCAGACGCGCGGTTTCTCCATCAAAGTCAGCGGAGAAATCGCCACCCATTTGTAGAATCTGAATGTGAATATTACAAGCAAGTAAGAATTATCATTACAGAGACGATATAATCTTATATGAACTCGTAGTTTCTTTATTTTTCTGTATATATGTATTTTAATATTATTATTATTATAGTATTAGTTCATACAGTATAATGGGATATTAACATATATATAATACACTATCTCGGATGGGCTATATAATTCTAACACAGGGAATAACAATATATGAAATATATAGAATATTTCTAAATTCGTATGGAATGACACATAATATGATACATAGAATATCTCTAATTTCGTATATGTATAATGGTATAATGTGGTATACGGAAAGTTATTACTAGACCGCAAATGTTTATGCAATTATGGGAAATTCAAATATACAAAAATGTATAAAATTATAAAGTGTATAGTATAATATATATGAAAACATACAAAATGTATCTTTGAAGTAAAATTATATAAATTTCAAATTTACACGATCACATAAATTTCTATTTAGATTCTATTTCTTGAATTGCATAAAAATATCCATAAAAATACGGATGTATATGAAAATTTAACTATTATACTATATTATACTACATTTATATATATGTATTATAGAGTTTAATTTTCGCTTTACATTATACATACAGATTATACATAATCAGATATGAAAATGTTTTTTAGTTAGCAATTAATATTTACCTTCCCCCCACGTTCCCAACGCACCAATGGCGCCTCGGGAGTAGCGTGTACTTTGCATTCAAGGGTAACAGCGTCGCCGTCGCAGCATCTCAGATCTCGCAGCTCCCTCGTAACTATCGGCAAAGTCAGCACCTTTCTGTCAATTAAAATTCACAAGCGTCATTTAGTAAATACGATCAAGATATTAGTCAATATTAGCCGTTGTTTTATAAAACGTGGCGGAACTTGCCACGTGTCGCGTCATGTAACAGGATTTATCTACGCAGTAATCTAGATATGTACCACTTACCCGTGTGTGACCCCTGATTTCTTCATTTTCTCCTCTTTGCCTTGACCTGAAAGCATGATACATGTATTATCCTTTCGTCTAAGCAAATCGTCCATGCTTCTTTCGAATGCTAAACGTTACCTTTCGCGTAGATCTGCAAAGAAATCACGGCTTTGGCCTCCCCATGGCAGTTCCGCGCTATTACGGAATACGTTCCCGTAAAGTCGAGTTTCGCGTACGGTATCTCCAGTCGATACTGAGGTCCTTCGCCGACCAGCCGGAAGTGGGCTGCGTCCCTGTAGTAATCAGGCTGTAAAAGAATGAAAATTGGAAACAAAATATAAATTGAGAAACGTTGAAGAAGTTGGAAACAGAGAGTGGCTGACGAAATTATTGCTACAATTAAGAATTTGACAAAAATGTATGAAGTATAATAAGATAACATAAAGAACTTTTTATATAGTTGAGATTTTCAGCTAACAAAATGCTAAAAGATTAACCGTGCATTTCTAAATGAAAAATATGAAAAGGTCCTTGTTACATGGTATTGAAAAGTTCTATATATTTCACAAATCTTTCTTACATTCACGATTAAGTCTGAATAATTTAGCGATTCGCTGGAGAATGTAGAACATGGAATTTGAAATACAGTAGAGCCCCATTTAATGGAGCGAAAGTTCAGTGTCTGATTGTTGCCGACTGAATCTACTTATCTGAACACGAACTGCTCTTATTTGTATCACAGATGGAGATCACAGATAGGATAGAAACTCAAGTTGTATGAACCGTATATATTATGTATTTCTTTACAAGGTTCGCAACGAATCAGTCTATGTAAAACGAATTGATCAATCTATGTAAAAATATTAATTTCTTCTTCACGAACGAAGCAACGTTTACAGTAAACGGATTAGATGGCTAAATAACGTTCTGATATTTTCTTTACGTTCGAGGGCATTTGAATAGCGCCATCAAGAACTTGAATATGTATTCGTTGCTCTTATCCACACGCACTCTGAAATCTCACGCTACTAAACGCAACTTTTATTGCTGACTTCGATAACACGTAATCTGAGTGCGTGTATAAATATCCAACGCAACTCGTGCTGGAAGAGCCATAGAAGAAGAAAAGAGAAACGCCACGAAGTTTTAAGTCCAAAGGAACTTTACCCTGTTAATGAGAGCTGATCTCGAAGTACAACCTCGAAGTACAACCTCGACCTGAATACCGACATTTCCGTCACTTACGCCCACAGTGAGGTCACCCCTTGTGATCGAATCCATTATTTTTGTCGATTGTTTACAAAATCAACAAATTTATAAGTATTTTACTACAGGTTTGGAAAATTTGCAATATTTTTACGACGTTTTATTCTTTCTGTGGTTTCTGAGGAAGAAATTATTATTTTCATTGTTTCTCTACATAATCTTCTGTTTTATAAATCTTTTGCTGCATTTGCAAAGCTTTTAATATTTCTTACAGCGTTGTGTCTCCTTTTCGATAACAGAAATTCTTCATAAATTTGGCAGCTTGACGAATCCGGGGTTAAAATCCAGTTGAAAAAAATGTTCTAGATACATAGAGGCAAAGTCAGGTAGAAAGAGAAGGAAGGGCAGTTGATAAAAGTAAGATGGGAAACGTCTTCGTCGGGGCTCTAGTCCATATAGGGAGCGAAAGTTGAACAGATCGTTCGAGACTGATCTCGTTGCTCGTATGACACGAGTGCCAACGCATATTACCGTTTTTTCATTACTAATTGCGCGTCTCTTCGCCAGACACGCCCTTCTTAAACCCTCGAAAATTAAGGTCGTTGAAAAAGAAAGACTCGATTGTTTCCTTTTTCGACCGAACCAATCTGAACATCCAGCGTTTCAACGCGCTTTAAGTTGCATTTAATCGTTCCGGACCTGACATCTCTAATATACCTTGGAATACTTTTCTCTGTCGTTAATAAATTTTATTTATCAAGTTCTCGTCTAGTTCCATTTAATATGATAAATCTTCGAAATACGTATTACGGGTTTTGATGTTTGTAAAAAAATTTGTCACGTGCTGAACACCGAAACTGACTTTGATTTATAACGACATGGTTGTCATCACGAAATGAAGTTTTCAGTATTTCTAATGCTCGAACTCGAATCGTGACATAATGGACCTTCTGAGACCCATCTGTCTTTCACCTGTCGCGGTTCGCCTACGATGAAATTTATGCGGACGACACTTCCCGTTACGGAAGAGAGGCGCCATAAACCGAAGCAGAGCCGGCTACTGCAAGGACTTCTTGCAATGTCATCTTATATAGATCTATATTTACGCGTGTAAAACAGATTGTCGACATACAAGAAATCTGTTTGCTGGTGGACATATAGAGAGCAGAAACTTTCCGAGTTTCTGAGAATATTTTTGTTTCATGGATTAATAGAGTATTATTTCTACGCTGTTCTACGATATACGTAAATAATATATTTAGAAAACTGTATTATTAATGTTAGAAATTCGTGGAACAATTTTTAATCAGCACGTATAGAGATAATATTTTCCTAGAGTATTATTTTCAATGTTTTTTAGAGTATGTTTAAGTAATAAATTGATGTTTTCATTAAAATTCACGGTAAGAGTTTTAATCACTATTTTTACATTCTTCTATACTTAAACGAAAATAAATTCTCGACCATGTTTTTATTAAAATGAATTTTTCACTGAATAGCTGATAAAAATAAACAGACTTTTTTGATAAACCTCAGACAGAAAATTAATATTCTTCACGGGATATTATTTGTAACTTTCTTAACAGTATATTTAATTCATACTTTAGACAATGATATTTTTATTAAAATGAATGTAATCGTTTTTAACGAACCTCAAGAAGTTGTTTGCACTTATGTCATTCGCCGTTAAGTTTCCATTTTGATGCCAATATTCATATATATATTTAGCAAATAAAAATATTATTAGACATTATTTACTAAATATATTCGTATATTTAATATATTCACCCGATAGAGGAAAAAGGAATCGTGACGTTGAAAACATAATCTTTCACGGTATCCAGAATTTTTTGATCAACGAGCATCGATCCCTATCGCGAAATCGCGACTCGTTTATCCCCATTTAGCAGCTGCAGCTGCACTGAAAACAAACTTGGACGTATTTGGCGGTGCACATTCGCAGTCGCGACGCGTCGCGTCCCTCCGATCGACGACGGGACGAAAGAACGAGAGAGGAAACTCGGACTCGGCCAACATTACGGCGAACAGGCGCTGACATTCGCGCTTAAGCGTCGACCAGTTCGATGAATGTCCTAACGAGCTCCGCTGAGATCGATGGATGACTCACGTCACAGAGATCACGGCTTTGAGATCTTACGATCCGATTAGATCCTCGATGATATTTCAATAAATTGGTCGTGGGTCGAACGATAGTTTTATCGATAAAAATAAGAAAAGTAGGTATTATCATTAGATGATAATGAGAATGATAACAAGTAAGACAGATTTATGGGAATTAGACGTCAAATGGAGGAAGTACAAGAGTAACATTATTACTAGAGAAGGATATTTTCATAGATATTGTGTGTTAATATTAATGTTAACATTAACGTGTTAATATTAGTATAGTGCAAATTTGTATCTTATATTATCAATTTTTTTTTTCGCAGAAGTGACATTTAAATAGAAGTTTGCTTTATTCTTTCAATGTTTTATATATTTATATATTTCATATGTTATGATATATTTCAATAATATTCTCATCCGGGTATTATATAATAATGATGATATATTCCCATAAGTGTGTAAGTGTCTGCAGTTTAGCTATTAGATACTAAATATGACAAATTTATGCAAATTAGGTGTCAAGCAAAGAAAAAAATCTAATAACATTTGTAAAGACCGTGCGAATATTTATACGAATGGTTTCATGGATTTATGCGGTCTCAAGTAGAAAAGAAAATAAAGATGTTAGATGGAAACTACGTAAAAACGACATGACAGATTTATGTAAATTGGGTGTCAAATACTGAAGAAAATTGATCATATTTCAAAAAGTAGAAACGCGACGGTAAAATTGATAATCGCATTTTAGAAAGACAAGCTAATTCTTATCAAGCACTACATTCATTACGCAAATACTAAACTTGGAATTTAGTACGAAGATTCAAAACGAAGCTCTGTGAAATAACTATAAAAAATATGCATTGGTTCGATTATTGATCATTAAAAAGACTCTAAAATTACGTAAATTTCTTGAAAGAATTTTTTATATCTTAGCTCTAAAAAGAATGCATTTGTAAGACGGTAAATTCATGCACATACTGATTCTTACAAATAATTTTTCTAATTCTTCGAGCTTTCAAAAAGTGTTACAAAAATGCAGTGGGAAAATTTTGACAGATAACGCTACAAAAAGTACAAGTATATTATAAAAAGTATAGAAGATGTGTTTCTGCTTACGTTCCGAATTTCCACATCGAATATATCCAAATCCGAAATAAGAGAGTCAGCGATACGAAGAATTAGCGTCCGAAAGATAAATGCCACTTTCTTCGTGAGATTTTCAACGAGTACTCAGAATGATCGAAATAAAAAATATCCATGTCACTTATCGATCTTAGAAGCTACGATCCAGAGGAATTGTAGGAGGACGAGTGGCTATTCGTTCGCCAAAGACACGCGACGACTGTTTTGCCGCCTTGTGCTATTGCACTACCGATCCATCGACGAAGAAAGTCGGCTTCGTCAGGATAAGTGGGGAGCCTCTTCTCTCTACGCTTTTCGATAATGCAGATATCCCTTTGTCACGCGGATACCATATACGCCTGTTTTTTCCGGTCACCAATCACTTCCGGTTTCCTTTTTGACTGCATATTAGCAACTTATGCTTTCACTTGTTGACAAATACATTTTTCGTATTATTTATCTATTATTTTTTGCGTGCCTCTTTCAATGTAAACACATTATATATTATACAAATAATAATGACACACACATATATGTATATATAATATTTATAACGTGAGAGTTAAGTAATTGAACATTCAAAGGACATAGGTATCGTACTTAATTAAAAAATCTCATTATTAGCACAAGATCTTCCGGTCATTTTTCATTTTGCTTCTAAGGAATGCTTAGCGTCAGACAGTGACGATGACGATTCAGCGCTAGAATGACGTCAACGTGTTTAAAATTATTATTAATTAGCATTCGTTGACCGTAGTTTCGCGCGTGCTATCGCCAGAATAAACTCGGAAGAGTTCGTACGAAACTCGTATGAACACGTGAATGGAATATAACTGACGGTAGCTTGCAGTAACTGTTGAAAATGATAACGTGAGTTCGCGCTCGCCATCCATATGCGGATGCGCTAGTTACAATAAATAGTAACTAGAAGACAGTTCTAAATATAATCGACAGATTTAAGATATTCTTTTGTTTTTATCCCTAGTTCGTGTAAGAAAGTGCAATAAAGGTTTTTCGCCTCGGAACGGCGTGATAGATTTATCCAAGGAATAAAATAATAGCTATTGTGATCCTACTTCTAAATATAGAAATAACAACAGTAGCATATTATTTCATCAAATCTTTCGTATCACTCCTATCAATCCGGTAAACGTTTATTACATCGAATTGGGTCATTTTTTTCTTTGTCAATACTAGTACAATAAAATTCGATCTAGCTTTTCAGATAGCATTATCAATATGAAGTAGACAACTATACAAAGTACAACACCGTTCATGGATATCAGGACACTTGGATAACTTAAAGTTAAAGAAGAAAAGAAAGTAAAAAAATCCTGAGGAAATTATTAAAACCTTTATTTTAATTCATACGAGTTTTATCGACTTGATGCAATGAAATTAATTTTCTTCCGCGTCTATATTTGTCGCATTTTTTCGATCGTTGTTTTGATATTCATACGATTGCTGTGTGAATGATTTCATAATTTCGATTCTTGAAATTTCCCATTTAATTCATCTCGAACTTTTCAATGGAATTTTGGGCCCTTCGTGAGCGAACTACGATAGGTGAGGGGGCAAGTAACACGATATTATTAATCTATTATAACGATTGTAATAAATAGTTTCAACAAATTATTTCTATGCGCATCTCCAACTTCATTTTGCGCGAAAACAAAATTTCGATCAATCAATCGTTTTCTTGAAAATCCTAATTAATCACATTTTGCATAAAGCTATACTAACGATCATAGTAACCAAAGCGAATCTGCTGTTATTTTCTCTAAAATAGTGTTTTGCGTTTATCGTTGCAAGAATTTTCACTTAATTATGAAACTAAAGTTCGATCAACTACGAAACTAAATGTATGATACGTTCAAAAATTGAAATATGCGTCAAATTCAAATTCTCAACTCAAAATCTTGACTAATGATTTCCACTGCGCTATGATTTTCACTCCGTTGTGTAACAGGTGTCTCAGCACTCGTGAACGCCAGTGTAGTTCGAAGTAGTTTCATCCGTTCAGTGATCAGACTGCACTGACCGCAGTAACAAGATTCCCTGGGCCCTGGACGATTCCCATTGTCATTGGGACCTTCCACGCGATTGAGCAATAAATTTCTCTCTTTCTCCTGAAGCCGGGTGTCTAACCTCACGTAACTTACTATTACCTTTTAAAGAGCCGTCTGATATCAATGCCGTTTCCCCGACGCATATAATGCTTGGCCCATTTATGGGCATAATGCGGTATGTTACGTTGTCATTTCTTTTTCGCAATCACCTTGACCCACATCATGGATCAACTCGGCATTAGGGACACGTCATTTCACCAATTGCACAACGTTTCTCTCTTTCTTTTTCTCCATCGTTCCCTGTCCGTTCGATCAACCACCCGCCGATCCGTAGATGTCTATCCGATACGTATCGATTTGTACGAAAGATCGACTGGAGCCTGGATTTTATACGATTTTTCTTTCAATTTTTGATCGACATTGTTTAAGAAGATTGGGGCTAGTGGTGACGAAGGATGACAAATGGTAAAGGCCGAAGGAAAGTTGAGTCATTGATTTGTTCGAAAGCGCAGAGTAAAGTTTCATGCTGGTCGCGTGGCGAACGTGCTTCGTAAAATCTTTTCCCACGTTTTTATCGCTGCTTGTGATTTATGACTTTTCTTGATCGTTATGCAATCGGTATATACTCGATATGTGAATTTGAATGAAATTTATATGGGAGATCGTATAGTAGGGAGTACTATTTGATACGCGTTTCTTTTCTACCGATGATTGCACGTGCCAACCAGGGGTGAGAAGAGCTTCCAAACATGGGGGTTGAAGCTATAACTATCAGAGTACGGATGTTTACACAAATGTATCATTTTATAAAATAATAGATTATGCACTCGTAATCTAAACAAAGATTTGTTTCGTCTATTAAATTACATATTTCGTCTATTAAAGTAAGTAAATTTACTATTTCGTCTCATCTTTTAAATCAAGTTTCATCCAAGTCTTTGATATAAAATTTCGCTTAAAAAAAGCAAATTTCTTACATCGTTGAATTTCCTTCGTGTAGATTATTTACATTTTCAAATTAAATGTCTCTCATATGCGTCTTATATATTTCTGCATCTTTAAAATCATAAACACCCGCGATCTAATAATAATTGTTTACTGTGATTTTAAACGTAAAGATAAGCATACGAACAATGTCCAGATTGTTTGAACAAAATTATTTATTTTAAACATAAAAATTATGTAAGATTAAAAGAAATGAATAAAAAATCTTACCCTGAGAAAATCGCGCAGCCACATCACTTCCGGTTTCGGATCACCCACCACCTCACAGGATATAATAACATTGTCGCCTTCAATCGCCTCGGTAGACAGTGGTTTTGTGACGAAGAGAGGTTCCTTCGAGTATCTACAAATTTTTAGCATGAGAAAATACAATTAATTCAGTTATGTAAATGTAAAATGATCTTCATTCGACTGATTGTTATACAGAACTTACGGTATGTCTGGCGTGGACACGATCGTTACAGTTGGCACTCCTTCAGCGGACATCTCGTCATCTTGCGTTTCAGTGCCAATAATGGATACTCTTGTCGAAGTCTCGGCAAAGCCAACCTCGTTCGTAGCTGTACAACAATAAACGCCAGCATCCCTTTGAGTGACCTTGGCCAAGCACAGCTCGACGGTACCATCGTGGTTCAAGGTCATTACTGCTCTTCTGCTTGGACGTAAACGAATTCCGTCGCGATGCCTAAACAGATGATTCAGTTTCAAGATTCACTTCTTCGGCATCGATACATGTCGATGACATATTTTATATTTCGATATTTTGATCAATTATTTTATTTATTTAAAATCTCGTTTATTTCCGAGAATATCATTTACGCTTCAGACGAGATATTTCCTGCGCTCTTTCGTTAATCTAACAAGATATCTTGTCCACAGATTTAGATAAAAAGGTATTCGAATTGAGATATATCGTCGTCTCGAATGTACAAGGGTTGAAATAACTGTGTTTTATTTCTCTTTTGTAGAAAACGATATTGAATCTTAGATATTGTGAAACGATTATAATTTTAGACGATGTTGCCAATGATTCTCGATGTTAAAGCAGCATTAAAATTAGAAAGAAAAAAGAAAAAAGATAGGCGAATATCTCTTTTATCTAGAGTTACATAAATCAAATTACGTCGCCAGATATCTCGTCCTTGATCAACTGCTTCTCAAGCTTATTATTTTATTATTATTATGGAAATAACTCTTTTATAGTTTTTATAGTATTATTAAACCGTGAAAATTTGGTCGATATCGTGATTGCTAAGTTGGATATTTACCATACGATGCCAACACTGGGATAAGCTTCTATTTGAGCTGTCATCCGCAGATCTCCGCCTAGTTTCACGGTATAAACAGCGTCAAGGCTACACAGGAATTCTGGAGCAATGTAAGCGCGAATTCCTTTGTCTACTACCAGGATACATCGACAGGACACCGAACCACTCGCGTTCTTCGCCATAACCATGTAACAGCCGGAATCTTCCAACATGGAGTGAATAATCTCCAGGGTGTGGAAGTTCGAATCATTGTTCCAGAATACGTGACGTTCTTCGAGAAAGTAGGAATGTCTTTAATCTGTTGAAAATATTACGAACTAGGAAAACATTGGCAAAGTATATTTACCATCTTGTCGAATCTCTTCGGTATCCTTATACCATGTGACTTCTGGAGCCGGATATCCTGTCACTTGACACGTGAGTCTAACTGGAAAGGTTGCTTGAACTCTTCTATCTCGAACTCTCATTGTGAATTGCGGTGGTCTGTCTTCCGTTTCGTCTCCCAAGCCTCTGCGTATCAACGTGGAAGTTTCATTTTAATAATTAAGATTATTAAAATTATATTAAAATTATTTAAAATCATTCCAACAGAGATTAGAGAAAGATAAAAAAACATGATTGAAAATTTACATTTCGTATTTCCCATCTTCGCTTGTTGAAATTAGAAAATTTAATTATAATATTGCGAAAGAGTGATAGATAGACCGCTAAGACTTATGCAAATTTATAGTTTCATTAACACTCACGATAGAAATAGATAGAAAATTATAGGAATATAGAGAATCCAATAGAATATGAAACTTAAATAGGTGTCACTTTGTAAATAGAAACTGTCTCAATAAGTACTTCAACAAATATTTTGCCATGGATATGTGACATACTTTTATACATCACATATATTTTCTACATATTTGTATAATGCTTGAAATTCCTCGTAAATGAATAAACAAAAATCCATAGTATTATCATAATATTTACAATTAACTGTTACGTAAATTTTCTATTAATTTAGACTAACTGATTTCATATGGGTTACTCATACCTCGATCTAAGTTTCTCATCAGCCTCAATGATCTTGGGATCATTAACAACGAGTACCCTAGCGAACGACGAAACCTTTCCAATCGAATTACTCGCTTCGCAAACGTATCTGCCACTGTCGATTTCCTGAACATTTTCAATCGTCAAACAACACCTGGTTGCACTGTGATAAATCGACAATCTAGAGTCACCGTTGGCATCAATTTCCATCGATTCGTGGTACCATTTTATGTCTACCTTCGAATCAGCCCGTATCTACAAAATTTTACACAGATTCATAAATCTCTCGCAAGATTCTGACCGATAGTATGGAAACCTCGAATGAGGATCTGTAGCAAATTTTGATCAAAGTCGAATCGACCATATAGCAAGATTCTACAGTCTCTGTAACTCGTTTTAATGCACACAGGTTGCAGATATTTCGTGGAAAATCGATGTAATATTGAACGCAAGAAGCACGTTATATATTTGAAACTTATGGAAAAAAATAATTAAAACTTCGTTTTTTCTTCAAATATGTTAATTGAGCCGCTCAAAAGCCGCGTTGATCAACTCTATAAATCAAAAAGAAGGAAAAGATATCATGTTGCAAATAAATGCTATTTCTTTTAAATTAACTTTGGGGTGTCATCTTCTCGTAATAAATGAACTCGTGCAAATAGGTAATTTGTTTTTCGAGAATTAGTCATTAATAACGTACTTATGCAATGAAATTGAAAATTAATAAAAGCTGAGTTGATCAATTTGGCCTCGAATGGTACTCGAATGTGCTCTATATCCTTTTTCGAGGTTTCTGTTTGATGGTAAACATTCATCGAGTACGTGTATTGAATTTAATAGTAAATAGAGCGGAATAAAAGCAGGAAACGAACGATTGACTAATAATAGCGCACTTGCCTCGCATTCCAATTTGACTGTGGCCCCTTCGAGCACTTTGAGCTGACCTGGCAAAATCTTCGTGAACTCCGGAAGATCGACGATTTCGCTGACCTTGACGGAATTCGTCATAGTGACGGACTCGCCCCATCCATAACGGTTCCTTGGCGTTACTTGGAACTTGTACTCGCCACCGGGTTTCAGATTGAACGCGTCGAACGCGTTGATTGGTGTCATACCCAGCTGATAGTGAAATCAATTTAATCTCGTTTCTCAATTTGATTTGATGAAATAAGAAAATTGGTCACGAAACAGAATTGAAGATAAACATATGAAATTTCAATTCACTCGGATGTAAGATTGTTCATGCAAACAAAATCTTCAATTTGAGGAAATTATGGACAAAGTTAACGCCTTATATATAGGAAACCGTGTGCCTTCAAGCAATAAGGTACGTATTTTATTAAAGGTAGCTATAAAACTTTGGAAATCTGTGATAAAATTTTCTATGTAAAAGAAAAATACACTTGATCCACTTTTTCATTAATTGCAAGGGAAATTTGTACGAAATACCATGTTTTTACACGTATCACAATTTGTCAAATTGAGACCAGGGACATACGAGACTGCAGGAATAAAAGAGAACTTACGATCAAGATTTGTTAATATGGTTTGGCTACAAGTTAAAGTAACAGAGATATTTCTTACTATATAGATTCCTTAAAAAGTGGCAGATTGTAACAGAGAAAAGATTTATGTTACTACGCAAAGATGCATCGTAGTTTTAAAATATCAGACCTCGAACTGTCAAGAAGTTCATCGTGTCCAATGTTGCACAATTTTCGAAAATGAATCCTAAACTTCATACAGATTCTATCAGCTGATCTTCAAATAGTGTTAACAGATTCTTAAATTTTAGTTTTTAACGTTGTAATTCTATCTTACTATCTTTAGCATTTACTGCTTGACTTCTCAAGATCTGATATCAAAAGAACGATAAATAATATCGACGATACCTCGACCCATCGTGCGCCACCGTCACTGCCCAGCAACCAAGCGTCGACTTTGTATGCGATGACAGGCGCTGGTCCTCTCCTTTCTGCTTTTCCCCAACTCAAAGACAACCAGTTCTTTCCTCCGTCAACTACCACCGGTTCGCTCGTAATTGGTCCTGGAACATCTAAAGGAAACAATTCACTCTCACTCATTGCTACATCTTCCTACCAATTTTTATAAAATTTTCATACAAATATAACAAGTTTGGAGCACTGCTCGCTTTCTAAACGAAATAAATATTTTCGTACATTTTTCTGACAAATAAAAATATTATAATGATAAACATCATTTCTAATATAATTAATTATGTGTTATAGTTTCAATAATATACAATGGTATTATTATAAATGAAATATTCAGTTTTACTCGAGGAAGTTGTTATTTTTTTTGAATTTATGACATGCTCTAAACTTTTGAGTATCAGTAACATTAAATTATTTTGCATAACACTTTTCACGGTTACAGGTTTCAGGTAATTTTACGCAAATCCAGCTGACCTCTATGTCCATACAAATATTCCAAAAAATCGATGATCAAGCAATCCTTATCAGACCACGATCGTCTCAGACGAGAAATCGTCGTGTCTTCATCGTTGTTCGCGACGATTCCATGATCGTGAGGCTTCATCCTCGTACTAATTTCACCTCGCGTTTCATTACAGCTTTTCAGCGATAAAAATCACATTCTCCTTCCCTCGATTAATGATATTACTCACGAATCGATCTTGAATCATCATCGAGAAATACGAAAGCTATGATTCGATAAAATTATTCCTTATACGAACGTTCGCGAAATTGTTACTTTGACGAGTAGCGTTTCAAGGAAGAAATTAAAAAAATGTCAAGGTTTTTATTTTTTTCTGGTGACTTCAAGGCTCGTAAAAAAAGTGGGGCATACGAGATGACTCGCGTCCCGACGCCGACTGAATTTTGAATTTGTGGATACACGAGGATGTTGGAGGGAGGCGAATAAGCAAGGCAAACGAAAATAACTCAACACGAGAGAGGTGTTTCCACCAGAACTTAGGTAAGTACAGGTGTCGTAGGTGTTGTAGGTGATGTCGTCACACGTTTGCTTGTCGTTACACGATCGTTATATATTTCGTTGGAATTGTGTCACTTATTTCAGCCGAGTCGTTCATAAATCGTAACGGCATCCCCTTTCTTTCGTAATTTCTCGTTAATTTGTTTCGTTTTGTTACGTCCTGACGATAATATCGTTGATGTTTTGCTGTTACATTGATTTGTTGGCAATTGTATAGTCAGCTAAGAGACGACATTGACGATGATTTAGATCAACAGCTGTTTGTCTTCTGCCATATTGGATAACAGTTTGAAAGTAGCAACTTGTCAATATGTTGTATTATATTATCCTGTATTACAGTTAACTGCATTTCGTGTGTATTATCATAATGTCAATTATTGTGAAACGATCATTAAGTAATCGTTACACTGGTATTTATTTGTAATTTTTATTTGCAATACTTCTCTGTTCCTCGTTTAGCTTCACAGTGAAAAAATGCATTTAGTAATTTTACGATTAGTTTTTTGCAATTTCTCTATGCTTAAATGTTTAAAGTCCAAAATAATTGTCATGCTCTTATCAGACGATAATACGATTGTAATGTTTTTTCTCTTTCTTCATTTTTATCTTCTTTTCTTTTTTTTTTTTTTTTTTGAAGAAAAGTGCAATTGACGTTTACTCGTTGTTGGTAAATTTACTACGTGTAATACAATTTTCATGCGATTGTTAGAATAGAGTAACTTACGTTTGCAACTGTTCATTTACCCTTTTCATTTTGTTCACGAACTTCTACAATTTTTCCTACGTTGTTAAGCGCTTCAATTTTTAGGAAAGAGATTTTTGAAAGCGTTGTATCTAATATTACAAATTCCGTAATACGATCTAGGATGTTTATTTATTGAACGGCCTACTTTGTAGGAATCAGCTGTTCCCACAATTTGCTATGTTTATTTTTGCACGTTTTCTGGCGTTTGCAGGAAGTACGTTGTACATTATGATTAAAAAATTCACCAAACTGTTTAACCCTTACATTTCATATAAAATATTTAAGCGATGTTACAAATATTTAAATAATATAGTATATTTATTGTGCTATTTTAGACCATCGAGATATTTAAAATTAATTTGCGATCAACGTCGGGACCTTTGATTCTAATTTGAGAATCATGATTCCCTTCCAACGTGTCGCTGCGGTAGTTTTCTTCTCTGTGCTCAGTGTACGCATTTAATCATGCCATCCGAGTTTCTTTTCGTTTAATTGTGCATGTGATATATTACATTTGTTTCGTTTATATATAGTATAGCGCGCTATTATATTTTAAAGGTTTGGTCAAGGAACTGTCACACTTGGCCCTGTTCCAGCATCGAGATCAACCATTCGTGAATCGGAAATGTTTATAATTTTATTCGAAGGTTTACGACGATCTGATTGAAATTTGTTTCATCATCTGTTTTGTAACCTGCATTGTTGGTATCTGACGTTGAAAATTTATTTATGCGATTTATTCATATTCCAAGAGATTTTCGCTATTAGGATAAAAAATACTTTCTCATTTTGTAATTTTTTACTTTATGCTTCCGATATTGTTACTTTGTCGATTAAAAAACTAATTCCAATACTTAATTGATGTGTAAAGATTACAAAACGATTATTATAAATTATATTTCGTATTAATATTGCATTAATCAACGTGTTAACATTCTCAATATAAATTTTGGGATAAAAATCTTTCAGCGAATTAAAAGTACGATAAATTGTACCTTGTTTTCCACTACGTCAGAAAAACGCGCCAAATTATTCAAAACCAAAATAGAATTCGGTATCTCGTTAAAAGACCTACGAAAATACGATCAACAGATTTTCTACCTTTTGTTTGTGGATGCTCGATAAGTGATCACCCTAAATATTGACGTCATTTCAAGGGAAACTATAGCACGACTCTAGTTCATTTGGACCATGTCCATTAAAACCTGGGCCAAGTGTACGAGCGAAACTACAGTCACTGTCGCTGAACTTCTAATTATAATCACTTGATTATACGTGTTATAACGTAATTAGTAATGCATGACATTTTCGATACATCCCGGATGAAACGCACGCCTTCCATTTATGATTCCAAAAAGAAGATGCTTGTGAAAATCTTTATTGAAATTCAAGGCGTTCATGATTTCATATAAAATCGCGCAATCAGCAATAACATTGAAACTTTTGGATACAATCTACATTCTTCTGGAAGAATACATCATCAGCAGCCGAATGACACACTGATAATCCTTATAATCATAATTATTACTAAAACACAGTCAAAATTGTAAATTTATAACGTAATTTTCCATCGAAATTTTATTCAGTTAGAAGCGATACATCTTTGAAAATTCGTATGATTTTTAATAAAGTATATGAGTTTATAAATAAAGGCTTATCTTTTATATATCTTCCATCTTGACTTCTTTGCTACAGGTTTTATGCTTTTTCTAGTCCGTAGTTTTAGTATTAGTCATTGTTAGTATTAGTCAACCCTTGACGAGACTGGTTGCAGTTGCTGGCAAAATGTTCGAATATATCTTTCCAAAATATTCGCAAGCCACAATTAATAACAATTTCTCGGCCGAATTAAATTAAGTAGCCAACTAATAGTAGCTAGTTACCTTATTTGTTAAAATACAATCTCCTTTCTCTTTCCTTATCTCTAAATCGAAATATGCTCTTACTTTTCACGTAGGGCAGATCTTCGTCGCGACTCTCGCTGGACAGACCAATGCAACTTCCGGTCTCGGTACGACTGCTCAAAGTGCTCCAGTCAGGTGTCAGAGATCTTGCCCGTTGTTTTACCTAAATGACAATTAATAAAGTGATTAATGAAAGTACGTTTTAATTGTGTATATGTCGGATATATATATAAGAAAATTTACCTTGATCGAAAAGAAACTTCTGTCACAACCGTATCTGTTCTTAAGCAAAATGCAGTACGTGCCTTCGTCCGAAGGTACCACTCTCTTCAGTGTTAGTCTCACGTAATCGTCGATAGTTTCTTTGTAAGATCGAGGACCGTCCGTGATGTCTTTTAATCCCTTCATCCACGTAACTGTGAAATAGCGAATGAATAAAGATCGTAATATTTTAATTGTTATAATTTGACTAAAAAAATAAAGTATAATTAAATTATATTTTACTTCCATTATTGTACACGAACTGTTCATTTAACACTAGAACTACCGATAGTTAACACGAGGCTATTTCTATCAAAACCGGTGAAAATGACTGATCTTTAAAAAATACCTAATAATAGAACATTTTTATATTTATCGAGTTATTACTTTCTTACAGAAGGAATTCCATGTTACGTAGCATATTTTTGGTATTATTAATCCATCTGGGACCATTTATCTAATTTAAAACCATATTTATACAATTGTAGAACCAGTCATTTTGACTGCTGTGGTATTTTTAGCGTTAAATAGCGAATCTTACCACGAGGTTTAGGTACTCCACAGAACCTAAAGGAAACACTGACGTCCTCTCCGGAAGTAACTGTAATCGATTTTTCCGAGGGTCTGGAAACGAACATGGCTGGCTTTTCACCATCCATGGCGCTAGGTGATATTACATCTACAGTAGCGATACTGTCTACGTGGCCATAAGCGTTAATAGCTCTGCAAATGTACGTGCCCCTTTCTGATTCGGTGACTTCCGGTAAAACCAACGTGTGAACACCAGACTCTATGAACGTCTTCGCTTTCGGGATGGAGACCGGCTCTCGTCTTTCGCCGCGGAACCATCTTACTTCGGGTGCCGGAACACCTGTATTTATCGTTAATCGTAGGCATTTTGTTAGAAATTATTCAATTTTAAATAATACAAATATATTAAGATTTATTCGTTCAATTCGTTTCTCCAATTATTTTTGACACGTGTCAGTTTTAAAGGAAGAAAGAATTTTTTAATTTTGAACTTTTTAGTATTTTTTATGTCACTAGTATATATCAACCGTTTAGGAATCACGTTGATTAAATTTATGAATCGATCCTTGAATCTGTAGGAAATAAAGAAAAGCTGTAACGTTATAAATACTATTTTCCTTAAATTTACTATTATTTTTCCAAGTAATTTATTAATGCTTGACATTTTTCATTATTTATGCTATCTTGCTGCTGTAAATAAACTCATGGAATTAGGTCATTTGTTTCTTGAAAATCGAAAATTAACACGTCTTGGAATTTATTCTAACGAAATTAGAAATTTACGAGTGAGATGAAATTGGATTCTCCAGTGAACAGCTATCTACATGTCATAACGTAAATATTCATTGATTAAACGTTTAATACCTTTGACTTCGACTTGCAAGGCGATAGTACCGCCTTTGGGAACGCTGTAATCGCTCAAATAGCTAGAAAATCGCGGTCTCTTGTAAGTTTCGATGTTGAAGTAGTCGTCGAACGATTTCTCGTGTTTGCCCACGATTCGTCGTTCCCGTTCTTTAAAATATACAAATTAATCCAAATATGATATTTGGAAGAGATATTTTGTTAACTAAAATTACAAAGATTACCGTTGAATTGAACGACATGCGATATCTCTTCGGTTCGTAGATCGTTCATTGCTCTGCAGGTATATCGACCGCTGTCCGTTGAATTGGGTGCAGCAATTTCCAACCGGTAGATACCATCGTCTAAGTAACATTGTCTGAATCGATCGCCTTGAAGAATGCAACCGTCTTTCAACCAGGAGATGATCGGTATTGGATGGCCACGAACTCGACATTCCAGGATCAACTCATTGTCGGATGGTCGATAAGTGTCTGTGTGGTGATAATTTTATCGCAATATCAATAATATGTTGGAAAATAAAATATTGTTACATATTTGTGGTACTTTGGGTTTCAATCGTGTTTTTACATATTGTTGCGTTGTACTTTGTTCCATTATACTAATAAAACACGATCGAAACTCGAAAAACCACAGTTATGTTACCCAAACATCGCGATAGTTTAAAGTCTTAAGAGAGATTAGTAGATATATTTAAAAATAGATTTATATCTTTAAATACAGAAATATCGATATAATATTTTAATATTATTAAAATTTCCAAACCTTTTCAGGGTTTTACGACCCAAAATGAAATCAACTAAAAATAAGAAGTTTGTGGGTTGAAGTGTAAAGATTCTACAAGTATCATAGAAAATTAGGGTTCCCAACATTTAGCGTTACAAAATTCCAAAAATTCATGCAATTTTTTTTAACACAAGGGTCATTCGATTATTTTTAATCGCGTTATACACAACGTATAACCTTGCAACATTAGAGAACACAATATTTTTGTTTAATACTATGCTTTATCTTCCCGTTTCTTCACTTTTCGTTTATTCCACAAATATTTAGTAGTTAGAATACTTTCAGGTACATACCTTTGATAGATCTTGTAAAAGTGGGGGGTGACAATGCTGGTTGGAAATCGGGATAAACTTTTAATGTGGATTCGGTGGTCGCGATTCCGTGAATATTTTCGGCAACACAGGTATACAATCCGGAGTCTTCAGGGAGTGCTTCGTGCAATTCAAAATAAGCCATACCATTATCGAATCGAGTTTTATATTTGTTCGTAGTTATGTCAAGCCTCTCGCCATCTTTTGTCCAGTAAACTCTTGGTTCTGGGTGTCCAAGTACGGTGCAGGTTAATCTCGTCCTCATACCAACTCCTACGGTTCTATTCGTCAATCTTGTGCAGAACGATGGCTTCTTTCCCTTGTCACGTGGTGTAAGCTGCGCAAGAAATTATTTTATATGTGTAACTTTGAAAAATAGTCCTTTAAAATATATCTTATTTCTCTTGGAATTTCAATTCTTTATTTTGTTGGTATTTGGAATATAATGGAATACGTTTGATAGCTTTAGAAGATATAAGATGATGCGTTTTACTTTATTCCTACCTCGTCCTTGATAGGCGGCAAATATATAGACAAATTCGAACCACGGTCGTCCAAATCAATTCGTGAACTAGTCTTTGTTCTGCTAGTGTACCTCGGTGGTTTGCTAACAGTAGCAGCTGTAATAGTCGTGTCACTATCACCCGTCGAATAGTCATCGTACTTCAACAAACTAATAGATCTTGTTCGAGTAATTTGATCGTCCCTTTTTCTTCTTCTTCTGTAGTACGTCCCAGTATCATAGTAGTATCTATCGATCGGAGTATCCCTCAGTTTATAATCAAGAAAATCATCGATTCTCTTCCTGGTCAAAGATGTCAGGGAATCTCTCCAGCTGTACGATCTAGAAGTGCTAGAGAGCCCCGAATCGAAACCAGAGTCGTGTCGATAAGATTTGTCTCGTCTGTCCCGCCAAAATTCCACGTCAGAAGAGCCAGCTTTCATTCTTCCAATTCGAAGCGCGTCATCCGCCATTTTTCTAAATAATTGATCCGATTCGCTTTGTCTTATTTTGGACCAAGTATCGTCTCTTAGTTGTTCTTGTCTTCGTCTACGAAGCCTGGATGCTTCTTCTTCCTGTCGTCTTCTTACGCGTTCTTCTTCTTCCTTCATTTCTCGCGCTGCTTCTTCTCTTCTTAATTGCCTTTCTGTTTCCCTTCTGCATCTTCTTTCTTCGTCTTCCCGCCTCGAACGCTCAGATTCTTCTCTATTCTGACGCTCTTCGGCTCTTCTTCTTTCCAAACGTTCAGTTTCCCTCCTCCTCATAGATTCTTTATCTTCGTTCCATTGTCTTTCAGCTTCTTTCCTCTTTCTTCTGCGTTCTTCTTCTCTTTGAAGTCTCTCTTCTTCTTCTTTGCGTAATTTCGCTTCCTCTTCCTGTCTTCTTTGTTCACGTTCCCTTCTTCTACGTTCGCGCGTTTCGTCTTCTTTCCTTAACCGTTCTTCTTCAGCTTTCCTAACTTTCTCGGCTTCTTGTCTTATCTGTTTTTCTTGTTCTTCTCTTCGACGCCTGATTTCTTCTCGTCTCTGGTCTTCCCGTTCCAGTTCTTTCTTTAACTTTTCTGCTTTTTCAGCTTTCCTGCGTTCTTCTTCTTCCTTTTTCAATTTCGCTCTTTCCTCTTTCCTTTTGTACTCCTCTTCCTCATGTTTGCGTCTTTCCTCTTCCTCTTTCTTCGCACGCTCTTCCCTTTCGCGTTTTCTCTGCTCTTGCTCCTTCTTCCGTTTTTCTGCTTCTTCCCGTTCCGTGCGCTCATCTTCCGCCTGTTGTAATCTTCGTTTTTCTATCCTTTTACGTAACTTTTCTTCTTTTTGTTCCAATGCCTCCGATTCAATCTTTTGTTCTCCTTCCACTTTCTTTCTACGTGCTTCTTCCTCTTGTTTCTTTCTCTCAGCCTCCTCTTGCTCCTGCTGTTCTTTTTCCTGTCTTAACTTTTCAGCTTGTTCTTCTTTCCGACGTCTGTCTTCCTCCTCCTTCTTAAGATCTTCGTCTTGTTTCAATTTCTCAGCTTCTTTTGTTTTACGCTCTTCTTCTTGTTTTAATTTTTCAGTTTCTTGCTTCCTCTTACGTTCCTCCTCCTGAATTAATTTCTCAGTTTCTTCTGTCTTTTTACGTTTCTTGTCCTCTTTTAATTTTTGTGCTCCTTCCTTTTTCTTATGCATTTCCTCTTCCTTTAATTGTTCAACTTCTTCTTTCTTCTTATGCTCCTCCTCCTGTTTCAATTTCTCAGCTTCTTCTATCTTACGATCTTCATCATGTTTTAATTTTTCTTCTTGTTCCTTACGTGCTTGTTCTTGCTTCAATTTCTCAGCTGCTTCTTTCTTCTTACGTTCCTCCTCCTCCTGTTTTAATTGTTCAGGTTCTTGTTTCTTACGTACTTCCTCCTGTTTTAGATTATCAGTTTCTCCCTTCTTTTTACGCTTCTTTTCCCCTTTTAATTTTTGTGCTTCTTCTTTCTTTTTATGTTCCTCTTCTTGCTTTAATTTTTCAGCTTCCTCTTTCTTTTTACGTTCCTCTTCTTGCTTTAATTTCTCAGCCTCTTCTTTCTTTTTATGCTCTTCCTCTTGCTTTAATTTCTCAGCTTCTTCTTTCTTTTTACGCTCTTCCTCTTGCTTTAGTTTTTCAGCCTCTTCTTTCTTTTTACGTTCCTCTTCTTGCTTTAGTTTTTCAGCCTCTTCTTTCTTTTTACGCTCTTCCTCTTGCTTTAATTTTTCAGCTTCCTCTTTCTTTTTACGTTCTTCTTCTTGCTTTAATTTCTCAGCCTCTTCTTTCTGTTTACGTTCCTCTTCTAGCTTTAATTTCTCAGCCTCTTCTTTCTTTTTACG